CTGAAGTGTCCATCAACAGATGAATGGATAAAGAAGATGTGGCACATGTATACAATGGAATATTACTCAGCCATAAAAAGAAATGAAATTGAGTTATTTGTAGTGAGGTGAATGGACCTAGAGTCTGTCATACAGAGTGAAGTAAGTCAAAAAGAGAAAAACAAATACCGTATGCTAACACATATATATGGAATTTAAGGGAAAAAAAAAAAAGTCATGAAGAACCTAGGGGTAAGATGGGAATAAAGACACAGACCTAATAGAGAATGGGCTTGAGGATATGGGGAGGGGGAAGGGTAAGCTGTGACAAAGTGAGAGAGTTGCATGGTCATATATACACTACCAAAGGTAAAACAGCTAGCTAGTGGGAAGCAGCCGCATAGCACAGGGAGATCAGCTCGGTGCTTTGTGACCACCTAGAGGGGTGGGATAGGGAGGGTGGGAGGGAGGGAGACGCAAGAGGGAAGAGATATGGGAACATATGTATATGTATAACTGATTCACTTAGTTATAAAGCAGAAAATAACACACCACTGTAAAGCAATTATACTCCAATAAAGATGTTAAAAAAAAAAAGGAATCTCAGAAAGATACGAGACTTACCCATGGAACCAGAACTCTCCTATTCTTCTTCCAAGTCAGGCTGTCATTTTCCCTCTTTACATCTCTGCTTCTTGTGCTGTCTCAGAAAGCTGAGCACCAGGTATAGCCATCTCCTGCAAGAGTTTTCCTTGAGCCCTCAGGGGACTGAATCTGCCATCTGTCCTGTAGGGAAGTAATTGGAATCTCTCCCTCTCTCCCTCACTCTTGTGCTTTCTTCCCTATATCCTTTCTTGTGCACCGGTCTGAAGCAGTGCTGATTCAGGCCCCAGGTAACATAGCTGAACATCAGTCTGTAATCAACGTATTTCCACAGCTACGTATTTCTTGCCCTCTCATAAGGTCTTAAAAAGAACTCATCATACTGATTGGCAGTTTAAAATCACCAAGCCATTTCTCCCTAGTGACGTGGCTGTATTCATACTTAAACCTAAATACAATGCTCGTAGGTATAATGTCTACATCATTGAATATTTGGGTTAACTAGAATAATATATGCTGTACCATTTATATAAATTTCAAAAGCAGGCAAAGCTGATCTATGCTGTTAGAAATCAGAATGTGGTTACTCCTGGGGTGTTGAGGAATAATGCTTGGCAGAGATATATGAGTAGTGTTGATAACGTTGTTTCTGGATCTGGGTAAGTGGCTATATAGGTGTGTTCAGTTTGTGAAAACTGAACTGTATAAATCTATTATATATGTACTTTTTGTGTGTACATGTTAATAAAATGTTTTAGAAAGATACAAAAATATACAGAATAAAATAGGAAAGTTCTCTTTTATCAGACATATCTTAAACCCACTCTTCTCTCCAGAGCAAACTGATAAAATAATTTTTGCATATACTTCCAGACCTTCTTTTTCTATGCATACACATAAAAATATGCATGTACCTATATTAAATATCCATATAACCCTGTCATATGCAAATGAGAACTTGTAGTGGGCTCATCAAAGACAACGTGCATTTATCTTTCAACTTTGCAGTCAGCAATTTCATGTTGGTACCTTGAAATTGGCCATGTAGGAATATTTATAATACAGAAATTAGGCAGTGCCACAAACCAGAGGGTTGTTTTTTTTTTTTCTGAAAGCAGAGTTATGACTTCTAAATTTTTGCTCTTTGAAAGGATGGTGCACTAAACATAATAACATACAGATTGAATATATTGCTTCAATGTTTCCTGTTATCCACAGTTGCCAGTGAAAATCCTGAGGTTCAAACAATTCTTAATCTTTGTAGAAAAAAATCATTTTGCTCACTCTCTTGCCCTCTCTGACATTAAATTTTTCTTATATTCTTGGGGTTTGGGGAATTTTACTACGTCTCTCTTGGTGAGATCCAACTTCTTGTAGAATAAGCTCAGGGGTAAGCACCCTGATGAGGGGTTGTTTAAATTAGGCTTCCTACTGCCCAGGAACCACAAGAGGTGACAGTCTACATAGTTAATTTCTATACCCACCTCTTCTCCCAAAGACAAATACACCCTAAGTATCCTGAACATCCCTAGGAGAAGTGGACTTATTTGCCTTAGAGAACTGGGATTATATAATAGCCAAGACTGGGAAGAGTGAGCACTGCCATAAAAGCAGTCAGAGAGCATAGATTTTACATTCATAGAAATATGGGTTAAAATTGTGGCACTACCATTTATTAGTGTATTTAACTTTGGTCAAATATAATTTCTTTGAGCTTCATTGTCTCAATTAAGAAATGAGGAAGTGTGTTTATATGTTTTGGTTTTGTTATTGAGGATCAAATAATGTGCTATATATAAAGAAACTATCTTAGTGCTCAGAACAGAATAGGCACGAAAAATGTTAGTTTCTTTTAATTTATTCACTTTAATACTCAAAACATTGTCCTACATGCCACTGAGGACTAAAGATCAAACTCTGACTTTTCTTTTTTTCTCCATACTCTCAATTCACTCACAACTGTTTGGAACAAGGGATACTCTATAGCAGAGGAGTACTTTACTCTGCTATTAACTTGCTCCTATTAACTAACTGCTCTGTTATCTGAAAAAGGTCAGACCTGTCTTCGTTATCCCAGGTTCCTTATCTCTAAAATGAGAGGGTCAATTGGATAAACTCTAGTATTTACCAACCTAGAATTCTATGACATTATAGATTTGCCCATCTGCCCATGTAA